GCAATCCAAACAGCATTCTCCTACTGGGAAGCTAAAGGAAATAACAATGAAACAGTATATTAAAGCAAACAACAACTTTTTCAATCCCTTAACAGATATGACTGCTATTTCTAAATTGCCTCAGAATCTGAACAGTTGGTTTCAGCAAACTGTGAGACTTCTCTCAGAACATTAACTATACATTTCTCCCAAGGATGGAATAAATCAAAAAATAAGAGAAAGAACATCTTTAAAATCTTGCAAATGCATATATAATTCTGGACTTGTACTCTCCCCCACACAGAAAAGCTTAAAAAAATTAAGGCCAAAATTACACAAGCATTTGTGAGATTTGTAATAGTTTCTTCAGAATGTTACTCTGCTTCAGCTAATATGCAGTACCACCTTTTACAAGTTATATTTTTAAAGATCTCCACACATCCTTTCCAGCTGTTGTGGGAGTACACACCTCTGTCTCCTCAAACTGGATGGTGGCTCATATTCTTGCAAGATGGCACTGCAGTGTGAACCCTGAGAGGAAGCTCCGCTGCAGGATTTTGTTAGCAGCCTTTTCAGCGGCTTTTTTGGCTTTTAATCCTATTTATAGCTCTGCTGCTATTTGCAGGGCCTGTAAGGCAGAGATGTTCCATCAGGCATTTAGTTGAGGACAGCGATGGCTCCATTCTTTCTGCCACTGCCACCTCCTGCCTTCCTGTGAGGCCAGGGATACCATTAGAAAAAATTAATGCCATCTTTTGGTACTGATATGTTTTATTGGTTTTAATTCATTTGTAACAATGTTTATATGATATCAGGTTGTACACCACCCTGAGCCCAGTCCCTCCAGGGGAAGGTGATCTAAAATCAAATTTAATAAATAAATAAAATAAACTAGACTTGGTCTTAGACCCTACACGATGGGACTGGGGACAGTCAGAAAAACTCTTTTAAGCATTACTCACCTGCCTGCCCCGTCACTATTTCCTGTAGTGTCACCCTCTCTAATCTCTACTGAAATTGACAAAATCAAAGAAAGCCATGTTAATTTGTGTGTTGTGGGGGAGGAGTAATTTAAAAAACGGGCATGTTTATGAGCGTGATGTTCATAGTAATACTGGAGATAGTTTATTACGGCATCCAGCCAGTAAATCAACAGAATTAGTAATACTGTAATTTTAAAAACCTGAAGCATTTAATAAAACTGACAAGGCTTTCTCTCCAACCTAGACAGTGAAGGAAGTGGGAGGGCCACAGGTATCCCCAGTCATGAGAAGGAAGGAAAAACTGGGTAGAGAGCAATGCCATTATTGCTATTAGTGACCAAAGTGATATTTCTCTACAATGGCAAAATGTAAGAATAATTTCAAATGTGTACAGCTATAGGACAAATTGGATGGAGTACCAAAAATGCACTTCAGATCAGGCCCGTAGCTATAGTGGGACATCTCAGGGCTGGCCCCCCCCAACTTACCACCCAAGCCTCCTGACTTTCCACCCCGCCAGTTTATTTTATTTTTCTTGCATGCCACAGCCATGCCAAGCCATCACCCTGCCCTGCCTGCTGGCAGTGTACTTCTGGCTGGCTGCGGGCAAGGCATGCCACAGGGCACATCTGCTCCCTACTCCAGCCCTGCCCATGAGCTTTTTAAAAAAACTTTTACTCTCTCGTTGTTCCTGACACAGCCTGTGTGTGTGTGTGTGTGTGTGTGTGTGCATGTGCAGGGGTGCCCCCTGACTTATTTAAATGCCCGCCAAAGTAAAAAATCCTGGCTACGGCCCTGCTTCAGATAGAGCACATCTATTCACAGGTATCCCAAAAAAGGAAGGCTGAAATGCAGGTGTAAATGTACCTTTCTGCAGGGCCATCAGTTTAAAACTGCAGCTCTCTTTCACTCATGCACACCCACAGTAACAGACCCAAAAGCACTTTAAGCAGCACATGTGAATTTAGTCAAACTGTTTTAATGATCATGTGTGGTCACTGGCCTAGCACCTTAGTTGCTCTGATTTCATTGAAGGGGATGACAATACCAGCCATACAGCTGAGAACAAATGCATTCACTTGTATGCTTTCATTCTGCACACAAACAAACCCTGTATTTGTCTTCACTCCAGTGGAACATAAAATTAGAACACATGCATTTTCCAGGTTTTCAGTAAGCAAAAGACAATGGAGAGTATTTGAGATGTCTTCTAATCTCTAGCATTAATTACTTCCTTTTAAACCCTGAAGTGCTGAGGTGGGCAAGATTAGGCCACATAAAATGTACACTGTGTATTTAGCTTAATACTCATTGCCTGGTTAAATGAAAGGTGAATTATAAAGGTGAATTTTAGATTATTTATTTATTTAGAACATTTCTGCACCACCTGTCCTAAGAACCCACTGGCTTATGATAAAGTAACTCTTCAGAGGACTGCACTGTTAATTGCTAGGGAAGTTCTGTGACTCCTTGCTGACTCACTACAGAATTCCTTATTTATTAAAATATTTATATCTCACCTTTTCTTGTGGCTCAAGACAGCTTAAATATCAATGTTAAAATGTTACATTTTAAAAGGATGTCATTTGGAGGAGGGCAAGGAGCTGTTCCAGTTGGCAGCAGAGCACTGGACCCGAAGCAACAGGTTTAGATTACATGCAGAAAGGTATCGGCTGGATATTAGGAAAAACCTTTTCACGGTCAGAGTGGTTCAAAGTTGGAATCAGCTGCCTAGGGAGGTGGTTAGTTCCCCTTCACTGACAGCTTTCAAGAAGAGGCTGGATGACTATTTGTTAGAGATGCTTAAGGCTGGTCCTGCATTGGGCAGAGGCTTGGACTAGACGGTCTGTATGGCCCCTTTCAACTCTATGATTCTATAAAACCAGTAGATTAACTCCCCAGATATCCCCCTCCTCTCACAAGATGCCTGCAGTTTAGACCCCATTAAAATCCCAAGCAAAAATCCCTTCCTGTAACCCAAAATCCATTTGCGGTCAAAAAGGCAAAACCAGGTACACACACACAAAAAAAGAAATGTGTCTATCTATTCATAAAACATAGAGCAAGAATGACTTTACAGTAGGACATCTTCCTGAGAATACTGTCCCAGACAGCTATGCTTTGTTATGATATTTTATACCCACCTTCACAAAAGCATTTCCTACAAAAGTCTTCTAAGAATTTATGTGCATCCCAGTGGTCAGGCAAGGGTAGGAAGGTAACAGATTATTAGCAGATTATTATTATTACATTTCCCCCCTGCCTTTATGAAGGCAGGAAAAAAAAAACAAATGGCATTCAGAGGGTGAATAAACCTGCATAAATAATATAGAAGGAGCCTCAAATATGTTAAACCCATGGGCACTCCTAAAATTTTGAGAAAGTCCAGTGGCCGCCATCACAAAATGGCTGTCTTGGGAAGCTGGACCAATAACAAAATGGCTCCCATTTGAACAATTAAAAATTACCAAGCCAGATGAAAGGAGCAGCTATTTCTAAATGGGTGTTCCATAAAGAACCAATGGGGTTCCTGGGGTCTTAATCTTCCTGCTTCAGTGAGGGAGAGGATAGCCAGGATTGGCTCTTTGCTTTGAGTAAGAAGCAAGTGGGTGCCAAGAGATACATCGCTGGGCACCACAATGCCAAAGGGTGCCATATTGAGGGTCACTGAACTATACTGTTTCTATGACTAATCCACTGACAGCTGAGCTGTTAATAAATGAGTAGCTTTGGTATCCTTAGAATGTAGTCATGAGGTACGTCTACTACTTGTATCTACAGTACAGGGAATAAATTCTGCATTTCCCTAGAAACATTATGTTTATTAGAATTTTTGTCAGCTAGTCTTGATACCTGTCAATATTAATGTTTTAAGGTATATCTATTCTCTTATGAGTGGAAAAATGAATGATTTTTACTTATAAAATCTCTGTAACATAACAGACAACTTCATTTCAATGCTCCCTCTAAGCTGTGGAGCCTTGTGAGGAAAAATTCTACTTTGTGAGCTACTAGCATTAAAGTCGTGAGCAAGCGATTTGGCTGCTGCATAAATTAGTTTGCTCTGGAGCCCTCCTTCCTGAGCTAAAAGAAAAATGTGTGAGCCAGAGGCTAAGAAATCGTGAGCTTGCTCACACTAACTTGACTTAGAGAGAACACTGCTTCATTTTCAAAAAAACTTGACCAAAGGTAGAAAATTCAGTTGTCTTATTACAATGGGAATCTACTTCCATCGAGCTAGTCTGATAATAAAATCAAATAAACTAAACATGTAATGTGTTGACAGTATTTTTTTCTAAAGAAAATTTGGAAAGGCTAAAAAAGCAGCAATATATTTGAAAATAAAAGAGAAAAAATGAGAATAAGAAAAGCCAAGCCCCAGGCCTCTTCAGTTTAGAGACACTTGTAAGCACAAAGAGGAAGAATTGGTTTTACTACAGTCCTACCACATACTGGCCACACAGTTTTGTAAGCACAATTAAATCATTCTTGTTATAATGAACTGAAGCCTGAGATACTATTGCAACCATATGCAGGTTTCAGTTATGGTAACAAGAATAAAGGAGCTCTGGCACACCAGTCAGGACAATCTATTACCCTCTCACTGGAGAGTTCTTGAAGCCTGCCAATCACTGTGATTAATTCCCAGTGTGTTAGAAGCCCTAGGGAATTCTTCTGGTGATATGCACAACTTTCTTTATTATTGCCCTCTGTAGTTGATAACAACTGAAATAAAAAAGGCCTAATATAGGTTAAATGATCGTAAAAGTTATATCATATGAATGTAATGTGCAAGAGATTTTTGATCATAGCTTTAATACATCTTTTTTGCTCCCCCCAACAACAACCCTAAAGCGACAACAACTATGCATGCCTTTTTAGATTTAAAAAATGTATTATTAATCCACCTCTAATATTTTGGTAGGACTTAGAGGTCTTTAAATGAAATATTCTATATATAACAAACTGGGCTACTTCCAAAGTAACTGGCAAATATGGCTGTAAAGGAAACTGCAACAATTGAAGTAGTAGACGTACCTCATCCCCATGCATATTAGCAACATACTTGAACTCTGGAATGCCAATCTTATGTTGGGTTGGGAACCTTCCCAGAGCAAGAACCCACAGGTGTCTACCTTTAAGTGGAAAAGAAATTTTTATATACATTGATGAAACAGTACAAAGTAAAACAATGAATGGTTGGAACAAACTCTAGCTCTCATTTGGTTTAACTAATTCCCCGTGCCACTTTTTTGCTACAAAGATAAGATACTGGCTCAATCACATTTCCTCCATGATAAGCAACAAGGCTGTAAACTGCCATGCAATTTTTATGCTACAAGCAAGTCCTTGTGAAATCCATTTGGTTTAAGCATGGGTAAAAGGCTACAGGATGGCAGCCAAACTTTTTTCCAAAGTTGCTAAAAATAAAATTTCACACTATAACCTTTTTTAAAAGAACGACACACTTTAGGAATATTTACCCAGTTTTACAGTTAAATTAACTTCACTGTTCTATAAATAGAAAACTTAAAAAGAAAAGATATCAACATGAAATTGGCTGTATAATAACAAATAAAAGCAACTAACAGGCTTATTAAAGAACAGCAAAGTACTTTGTAAGGCACAAGCATCTATAAACAAGACATGGAATTAACTTTTGGTCAGACATTTGGCGACATTGAGAATAACTGTAAAACCAAATTTATTTAAGGCCAGCTGGGATAAATACTTAACATTAAAGACAACTGAAAACTTAATGACTGACTTCAAGTTAGGGCCAGTCACTTGCAGCCTGAAATGGAAAGTTCAAGTGGCACTCTCCATCCACTGCAATTAAAACTAGGCACAATTTCAACTAGGACTTGCTTAAACCTCTAGAAAGTGGTTCCCTTTCATTGCAATGGGGCAGATGCAAGAAAACTTCTTAGCGGCTTGTACCATAGCCACATTCCCATTATGCCACCATTAATGGCACCCCAAATTCTCCTCTGGAGGCACCTGTCTCACCTTAGCTCAGCTCATGTTAGAGCCAACTATGTTTTAATTTAGTGCTTGTTTTGCAACAATTTATATGAACTAAAAAGCCAGCTAATGTCCAAGGCAAAAATGATAAGGATGCCTTTTTTCAATGCTTCGGTTAATTAAAAAAAAATGCAGTAGGGAAAAAAAACTAATGCCCAGAGATAGCAGCCCAGTATTAGTACCTAACAGCCAACAACTGATATACACTGGAACATGTCAGGTTTCAGGTCTGAGAGATCAAATAGTTTCTTTTTCTTTTGCCAGAGCTTTGGGGTCCAACAGTAAGAACCAGTTACAAATAGGCTCCTTCCGGGGGGCACAGCAAATTATTAAATGGGTCTTGCAGTGGTGGTGGGGAAGCTGCCCACTGTTACCTGCTGCATGACATAAATTGGAGTATCTACCTGTACACATACAAATTCACATCACAGATTCCAACAAACAACCCTAAAAATTGCTACACAAAAATTTGATGACAAGCAACCAATTACACCACAGTCTTTTTAGGTGAGAAATACTGAGGCTAAGAGGTGATTCTTTCTTATTTGCAATTTTAACATAAGAACATAAGAACATAAGAGATGCCAATGTTGGATCAGGCCAAAGGCCCATCCAGTCCAACACTCTGTATCACACAGTGGCCAGAAATACCAGGTGCCATCAGTAGGTCCACCAGTGGGGCCAGGACATTAGAAGCCATCCCACTGTTGACCCCCCAAAGCACCAAGATGACAGAGCATCACTTGCTCCAGAGTCCCTATCTATACCTAGTGGCTTACCGGCGAGGCTCCCCTGCCGGTAAGTTATTTTGACTTGGCAACCCTAGGTAGAACAAAGATATGCTCTGCCAAGGGAATAACAGGTTATTATAGTAATCCTTCTCCCTGCTTGCATTAGGACTGAATTTGCATCACAGAACTAGCTTTACTGCATCCTTTATTGCAGTATGCATGGTTCTGATATAGAATGAAATACAAGATTATCTAGAAAATAGTAGATGATAGACACAAGAGTATTTGTGATACAACAAAATTTAAAAGATCAATTAGATCTTATGTTCAAACTTAATCATAATTAAACAAAAACTTGAACCACCTGCAACAAGACATTTTAAATACAGCTGCAGCCTTTCAGACTTAGGAAACATTTCCAACAGAAAAGTCATCCAGTCCTGTGATACTAGGATCTGGAAACAGCTTCCGGATATACCAATTGAACATCTCACTGCCTTAACTTTGGAGTACAATATATAAATGTTTTATTATATGATAATACTTATATCTAATTCTGAACACAATTCCAAAGTACATTTTTTTAAAAAATCTACACAATGAGAGTGGGACCATGTACAATTTGAAGATTTTTCCAACCCTCCCCCCCCCCAAAAAAAAAAATCTACAGGAAAACTGAACACTTTTTTTTAAAAAAAGGGAGGGGGGGTTAAAAACCCAAAGAGCTCGCAGGTAGTAGAGCACAGTGTGTGCAGGACAGGCTATTTATGTTGGCAGAGTAATTAACACAGCAGTGGTGCACAACCTGATTAAAGAGTAGATAAAAGTTTACTTAAGAATTAACATAATAGGAAAGAGGAGAGAAAGAGAGAGGTTCCTAACTACGTCTCTAGCTGACAGAGAGGGTAAGACTGAGTGTGGCACTTCCGAAAAGAAGGGGGAAATTGCCTTAAGAGTAGCAATCTGGAGACAGACAAGGAATGACACTTCACTGGAGAGAAGGTGCTGACCTCACTATCCTGTCTAATTGTCTTCTTGCTGCCCCCTGCAGGGTCTTCTTCTCTTCTTCAATGTACACCAGACATTGCCTTTTCCAACAGTTTACTCCCAGCCTTCAGGAGCAGAAAGCATATGTCTCCCACACTCTCTTATTGAAGCCTCTAGCTTCCACCACTGACTAACTAGCTGACAGGGATGGGTTGTAGCACCTCAGACATCCTTATCAGCTGGCTTGAGGTGACAGCAAAAGGCTTGGAGCAATGTGGGTGGGGGAGAAGTAAAACAACAGGAGTGAGAGGGAGAGAAGAGAGAGAGAAAGCAGTGATTCGAGGATAAGATGTTCCCTCCCCCACAACTCCTCACAGCTCTGCCTTGTTGTTTATATTCGCATTGTGCGTATAAAGCAAATGTCATCTTTCTATTCTTTCCATCATCAAGCATACTTATAATTGTCTTCTTATTCCTAACGTCTGGTTTAAAATCAAACTGTGTGACTGATGCAACAATTTAATAATTTTAAACCTCTTTCTATTATGTCAGCCAAGTATTCAAATTTAAATGTTAACGATTGATGGTGTCCTGCTAGGATCCAGGACCTTCTTGAATGCAGCACTGTGTGGTTGTTTTTCCAATTACACACACCCACTCTCACACAATTTATAAGCCCAGCTGTTGAGTTCACACAGGGGCTAGAAAGGATGAGAAACTTGAAACACGAGGCCCTTTCAGACATCAGGACAAACTTTGCTTTCATTGCTAATGGATTGAAAGCACGGATACAGCAATATGTTAATTTAGTTCTGTCTAGAACTGAAAATAACTATAGATAGTTGTTTGTTCAGAATGAGTGTTTCACTGCTGTACTGATAGAAATGGAAGCCTTCCTAACTTTCAGCTATTTAAGTCCCAAAGGAAACAACTGTCTACAAAACTGGAGACTCTGGAGCCCTTTATGACAGTTTTCAGGTAATTACTTGTTTCAATATTTATGTAATGCTTATCCACAAAAACAAACAAAAAACAGTCTCAGGAATTGGCTGTGCTAAGGAAACTGGCATGAAAAGGTGACCATAGGAATAGGGTTGAATTATTTCTATATGTAAAATTACCACAGCAACTTGAAATCCAGAAAGGATATTTGAGGATTCACAGCCATTTATATCAAAATTGGAAGCTTGCCAACATGGAAAGACAGAGTAGTAGATTATCATTTACTAATCTGTCTTGGTTTTAGATTTATTGCCATTATACTTAAATTAGTGCAACCTTAATAATAAGGTTGTAAAACCATCATGCTAAAACTAGGCATAAGCCGTCACTACTACAGTGAAATAAATTATCAGTGAAGGGACAAGAGGCCAAAACCACCTACACATGAGCCATCCTAGACAGATGATATAAACTGCTGGGCAGTTTATGGAAAAATACATACACTGGGTAGTAATAAGAACCAAGAGGACTGTGCAGTCATTTGTCAAAATACACACTTGCATGATTACCTGTTGTCAAGCTTCACATAAGGGATGAGAAATTGAAAAATAGCTGATCCTTAAAATAAATCTCCATATAGCCTTCACTTTTATGATTAAGACTTCAGCCTGATTCTCTGCATGTTTACTCAGAAGTAGACCCCACGGAAGTTGGATGGGAATTTCTTTCATGCAGATGACATCAGCCTTAGCATTTCTTGATTTGGTACAAGAACATGCAGCAACATATGATGTGCAGTTAGACAGACAGACATGCCGAAGGGCAGATCTGTGCAAGTTCCCAGGTGCAGCCACTATATTGTCCCATACCAAGTAATGTAATGTGCCTGCTCAAGTATATACGGGGGGAGGAATCCCTGTTTTTCTCTTCTAAAGACAAACTAGGACTCTCCCTCCAAGATACCAGTTAGGATTTGAGCCAGGGTTTTTAGCCCTCCACAAACTCAGTCTCCTTGTAGGCTTCCTTTCCTGAGTCACTGCAATGGAGGAGCCTGAAAATTCTGCACGCCATGCCCAAGGTTCCACTTTCTCTACACCCCACCTCAGTGCCCCGCTAGAAACCACATTCATAACTCTAGTTCCTTTTAAAAGGGCTAGTCACATAAAGTATTATCTGTTGGATCAAAACAGGAAGTCTAATGTGCAGTATCAGATTGTATATGCAATTCTATGTCTACCTGAGATATACATGCAAAAGTCTACTTTTGCGTACATGTGCCTATAGTTGGGTCAGAGAAACTGTATGCTGTATTAGATAATCTAAAAGTACATTCAAAGATGCTACAAATATCCATATCCGCCTGCAATATCATCTGATAAAATTATTGGCAATAAACTTCTGGGTTGCATACATAACCACTCTAGGCATACATAACCATAAATTGAACACTC